TTAAAGCTTACAACGAAGTTAGTTACGTTTACGATGAAAAACTACAAAAGTGTGTTATTGTGGTGTTATTCTATTTTTATATTAGGGGTGAGTTTTCGACATATTATTAAAAAATTTAATTAAGTATCACTATTTTTTTTTTAATTCACAGTGTCAGAGACGGTCTAAGAGAAATGTGAAATAAAAACGATTTGACCGATTTCGATAGTCATTACTCTCTTTATTTTCAAAATTAGATTAAACTTTTTTTTTATAAGGACTATCACTTTAAAAAAAAAAAAAATTTTATATGATTATATTTTCAATATTTAATCAATTCTGTGATAAAAAAATCTTTATTTATATGTTTTGAAAAACAAATTTAGTGTTTATTTTGCATTTCTGAATTCCGTCAAATACGTAATTTAATCAAATGATTTTTAATTTACTTGTTTTATTATTCCGTAACTTTAGTTAAATTTTCTTCTAATTAATCATCTAAATTAATTAGATTATCTATCTTTAATAGTCTGTAGTTACGATTTTTCACGTATGTAGGTCGGTTTTTGATAAATGGGCAATTCTTCTCTTTTTTTCTAAATTCATATTCGAGAAAAAAATATTTAATTCATCGTTTTCAAACTTTAAAACGTTGCGTTTCTAGCTTGATATGTGGCAATATTGCCTAGTAATTATTGACGAGTCAATAAGGGTCTTAAGGTACCATTTGGGAAGGCGAGATCGAGTAAAGAGAACATGTACTTATATGAAACACATTTGGGTAGGCGCGACCGACGACATCACTTTTAGCACGGCAGAATTTGCTGTTAGCTGCCTGTTGCTTGTCGTTTTACTCGGTCTCGCCTTCCTAAATGTTACCTTTAACATCAATAACTAAAATGGCGTAGCGCCAGGCTTACCTGTCCTACCCCTAATTCACAAACGATATCCAAACGTACCTGTCACACATGGGTAAACTTAAACAAATCTTTGATAGAGTTGGGCGATATTTCACAGACTGTTATTTTTTTACTATTTAAAAATATCGATAACATTCTTTTCATGCTCTTATATAGATTTCATAAAAATATAAAGAAATATTTAGTTTGAGGAAACCTAACCTAGTAATATTTTAATAATCATCAGATGGCGTTGTTGTAACGTGAAGTCAATAAAACGAGCTGTCAAAAAACTTAGTTATTTTAAAATGTTAATAATCTTTTTAAATAATTTTTTATTCGAAAAATAGTTAGTTACTTAAGGATGTTCAGAGGTGCCCCTTTGACAAAAAAAGGTGTCTTGCCTGTATTTTTTTTTGTGTGGAAAAAACAGTAAAAACTGTGTTGTACTTTTTATAGGGAAGTAGAAGTAACGGGTGTCCCAAAAGTTTTGGGAAAAAATTAAAGACATATAAAAAAAATATTACAATAAGGAATCCTTCGAAGTTGGGCCTCGTTATACTTTGGACATTTTGTCCGTTTTCTATAATTTAAGCCTTTTTTGCAATATATCTAGAAACTGTCGATTTTGATACCTGAAATTGTCGGGAAAGCTTTCGAGTTGACACTCCAATGGTATCCTTTGCAAGTTCGACCATCCTGTTTACCCTGACATCGGTAAGTGTTGCCGGTCTGCCACTTTTCGGCAAGTTGAGACAAGATATTCCTTGTTCGCATTCTTGAATTGTTCGGTAAATGGTTGTTTTAGATATATTTTGATTCCGGAAAATATTAACGATATCTTTTTTTAGCATTCTGCCAACAAAGTTATAAATAGATTTTCGAATCTCAATTTTGTACGCCATTATGCCTACAGGCAGATAGCAACTGGGCTGTCATCCAAGTAAACAAAACCCAGGGCAACGTTTATTACCATGGTTAACTAGACAAATTTGATATAATACTCCGCAAAGCACAGACAAACTTTTTCCCAAAACTTTTGGGACACCCGTTATCAGAACTATGGCATACCTATGCAATATCTTGTTGTTTGTTTGGTGTGTGTGTATAGGCACATTTTTTTAAGCCAAAATTCATCAAAGATGCCTGTCACATGACGTCATTCATTGATTATCGATGGAACGTTAATGCTAAATAAAAAAAAAACAGCATTTCGCCAAGTCATTTGTCATTTATGATTTAATTTGAAAAATTGACAAATAATGGAAAAGCGTTTATTTCTTGGTATTACTGCATTAATTGGCTCTAAAAATAGATATAGTAGTATTCTTTTTGACATTATATTAGTTTAGTCGACCTGTCACTTTCAAAACTTTCCACCGCCTCGGTACAACGGCGAAACGACTAGTTCGGTTAGAACTACCAATAATAAATGAACGTAAATCTATTCTCCCGCTAATCCACCGGTGAATAAATTAACGTAATTTTTGCACCGATGGAGCCACCGATAAATAAAAACACTCGTCTTATATTTCATTAAACCCAAGTGTGGGAATTATTATTATACATCGTTTTTATAGTATACAAGATAACAATAATTTAAATAAGGAAAATAGTTCTTTCGTGTAAAATTGGAATTATGGAAATGTACATTAAAAAAATGTATATTAGGTTGATGTTTTGAGGTCATGTTTGCTGAAGAGTATGAACTAAAAATTATAACTTTGCGACATTTTACACAATATTTAACAGATAATTGATTTTTCTGTTACCATTCCTAAACAATCTCCCACATGGAGGATATCTGGAATATAGCTACCTACCTACTTTTTTTTAGCTCGCTGGTGGTGAAAATTCTCAGGGACATTCTCTTTGAGCGTGCCGGACTTTTATTGACTAAAAACACAACTATTCCCATTGCACCGGAAACCACTCTCGCATTACTTCAGTACAAGGGATATTTTAGTTATTATCTAGTGTCTCTCTTTTGTTTCAAGGATATGACGAACCACTTCATATGCAGTATTCCACCCATTTTCCGAATATAACAGACACGTCATCATGTTTTCCGCGTTGAAAATTTCTCCTGTTTTCCTTAGAAAGGTCTCTACTTGTTTTCCCACCTAGGGCACGTAAATAGCGTATGTTCGGCGTCGTCTATTAAATCGCAGTAATTGCACTTGTCTGAACCTGATCTTCTTCGGTCATACAGATATTTTCTAAAACATCCGTGTCCAGATAGCACTTGGGTAAAGTAGTCCAGTTCTCCAAACGGTCGTCTAACCCATTTTTCAATGCTGGGAATTAGTGTATATGTCCAGCGACCCTTCGCACTAGAATCTCTCACAGTGGCTGCCTGTGATATTTTAAAATGGGTGTTCACTTTTTCCAATAATTTTATCATTTGGAAGTTCGGTTCAAAACTTTGTACAAGAGCCAATATCGCTGTTTTTTTATTATTTGAGTTTGTATTAAGTGTAGTTATTATTATCAACATCATACTGTTTTCAAGTACTACAACTATTAATAAATGAATATTTTAGTTAGTGTAATATTGGTTTTGTTTTTAATACATTGAAAACCATCTATAAACATTATTAGTTAGTAAACTGACTTTTCTTCATAATTTGAGATTATTTTTAAATATATATCAGGTTATGTAGAAAGCTTGATATTGATTTTTGTGTAAAAAATATTATATAAAACTTTATCTACCATTTTTCAGTTTAATCATTTACACAATTTGTCACAGATGTCAAATAAAAAATATATTTTTTAAATACTATTGGCAAATAAAATAAGAACTAAAATATTTTAAATGTTTATTTTATAAGATCAGTCCCATCACAATACATACCATTACACAGATACAAAATAGAATAAAATATATAACACTTGGCATTCTAAATGATACTCTTCGTAGTTTAACAGACCCCCCCAACTATCCATTTCCTACCAGGGGGTCAATTCTCAACTCGTAGGAATATTTTCCTATAGGAATTTTTGACATTTTTATATACATCGAAAATTTATGACATTTTCCTACATATAGGAAAGTGTCACAAATTCCTATAGGAAAAGGTTCCTACAAGTCGAGAATCGACCCCCTGATTGTTTTCACAATCAATAGGTCTTATCTCCTTATAGGGCTTGATTTTTACGAAAAATTTCATGTTGATGTCGCTTTTCATTTTTGATTATTTTTTTTTAAATTTCAACCCCCCTTAAATCGCTCATATTTAATCAGATTTTTTTATAATTAAAGGGCTTCTTCTCCTTTTAGAGCTTGATGTTTGCTAAAAATTTCAAGTTGATATCATTTTTCGTTTTTCAGTTAGGTTTTTTTTTTTAATATTTTAACCCTAATCCTAAATACTAAATTATACAAACAAGGCAATAAAAAAATGTAATTAAAATAAAAGATTACTTACTGTGCCACAGAGACGCGATCAGCCAGAGGACAATGATGTACCAAAAAATATAGATTAACACGTATGGAAATAAAAATATTAATATTAAAATTAAATTTAAATTTTTATGTTATTTATGTAATTTTAAAATAATGTGTTTTTATGAAATTTAACTGGGTGTTCACTGCACAAATGAACCAATGGAGAAACCGCCCCTGATCCCACATATCTTGCCATTCTAACTATAAGTTGGCTTTGCAAGTGTCTTAGTCAACTCCTTGATACTTTCTTGTTCTTTCTTTGATTAAGGACTTTATTTGGCTGGATGCCAGCCATGACCCCTACCCCTTCTACAGAAATGGTTCGTACCCGCTGGTAGAAAAAAAACTCTTAAAAAATTCAAGATTATAGTTTAAATAAGTTTTTGGAAAAGTGTAAAATTTGGAAGGAATGAAGGTGTTACTTACCCATGCTGTACGCCACTGCCAAAGTTTATGAAACTGATTTTTTTGCTGATAGGTGTATCTTATGATACCAAAGACGTTTGCTCACTATAATTTTATAAAATAAAAATCAAAAATTAATTAAAATTAGGAATATCCACCTTTGAATGTGAATATCTCGAAAACCAATCACATTATGAGTTCTCAAAAAGAGAACATGATTTACTTAAAAAACATCAAAAAATAAAATTAAAACACACATACACACCATCTACATGAAAGTGACGTTTAATTCTAACCTCACGTTTTAGTAATGGTACCTGGTGGTGACCGTTCCCCTGTTACCGCTCATTTATTTAAAATTTAATAATCAGTGTGAAAAATCACGATATCGTCCAACTCTAACTTTTCTCTGAATTGTTGTTGAATTTAAGGATTTGCATGTAGGTAAATATTTAAATATTCTTTGTGAATACTGATATTATTGTAGTAATTTAACTGATAATATTGAATTATTACTTTTAAATAGTAATAATTAGGAAAGTGTATAATTTAAAAACCTGCTGAGGTTCAATACTTGTTTTGATTTGTGGTTTGTTTTGATTTTATGATAAATTATGGTATGTGTTATGTTAAAAAAATATACAAGTAATCTACCTAATCTAATTATGGGTTGATATACAAATATACAGGCTGGGCCACCGAAAACTTTCTACTGAAGTTTTTTTGTAATGATACAAAAGCAATAAACGTCACACTGGTCGACTTTAGTTTGGAGGGGAAACACTTATTTTCTAATTGCAGCATCGGCAAATTCCAAAGGTAATTTTACATAGAATTCGGCAATACCTTTGATTTTAGCGCTCTCTATTTTGATAAAAAAACTGCGTAGATATTGTAAACAAAATCAAATTTTAGTTAAATATCCGAAAATCAATTATTTTTTTATTAGGTAATTTTGACAGCAACGGCCTCTCCTTTGGACGAAATGAGTCTAGAAAATTTTCCAAAAGTAACGTCGAAAAATTACGATCAACATCCGCTTAAAGTTCATAATTCGAATCAAGAGTTTACTTCCATCTGTTGGGCGGAATCGTTAATAATAACCGAAGACAAAAAAACTAAGAATCAATCGATATCAAAGTCTTATTCCATCATTCTTGATACTCCGGAAAAATTGAAACAATTGCACAACGAGAGCGAAAATGCAACTTGCGTGGAAATTTTAGGTAAGCTATTTAGTTATTAGAAATTTTTTATTAAAAACGATTGTTTGCATTTAATTAATATTAAATTAGCTTCTATACGAGGGGAAACACGAAAATTAAAAATGAAATATTACAAGTTTTGATTTGTATTTGTTTTTTAGGACATAATTCTAAACCCAAAAGAGCGTTAAACTTTACGATACTCGAAGAAACCAAAGAATACATAATGAAGGAACATAAGACGCTATTTTGTGGAGCTGGTCCGGTGCTTTCCCAGCATTTCATAGTTTGGCCTAAACTAAATAGAAGGCAGATTGAGATTAGCATCAACCCCCTTAGTTCGACGAAATGGAAAAACTGTAAGGACATCCAAGACATTCAGGAGAATCTTGTGGAAACAGAGGATAAGTACTATCACGATAATGCGTATAATCAGGCCAATCAGGATAATCAGGAAAATCAGGACAATCAGGACAATCAGGACAATCAGGACGATCAGGACAATCAGGACAATCAAGATAATCAGGACAATCAGGATAATCAGGATAATCAGGACAATCAGGACGATCAGGACGATCAGGACAATCAGGAGAATCAGGATGATCAGGAATATCGAAAGAATAAAAAAAGAGGCCTGACTAAGTCCGGTAAGGACAATCAGGATAATCAAAATGATCAGGAGTATCGAGAGAATAAAAAGAGAGGTCCACCTAAGTCCGGGAAAAAGCCTAATAGAAGAAACAGTAAGCATTACTATTACACTATTTACTTTATTATTATGTTTCAATGTTTATACCATATTGAATTCGCTCGTAGGCACACAGGGTTATAATGAGATTAGGGTCACATTAATAATAATTGTTTAATTTACCAAACGATTTGGATCAAATTTGCAACAAACATACCATACATTATTTTAAACTGACACTTATACTTAAGCAAAATTACTGACTTCCGGTTTTACCGGCAATGCCATTAAGTTTTGATTTTTTAAATGGATCTGGTATATTTTGTTTTTTTTTTAGAATCTACGGTCTAAATTACAAATGACAGTGTTGCCAAATTATTAATTTTCCTAAAACAATTTTTGAGGTCGAAGGCCATGAACTGGAAAATAATATTGAGATTTTTGTAAAAAACTTTAGTTTTTATCTGAAGAATTTTCTGTCTAGTTATTACAGGCATTTTCCGGTTATTTTCTACAACCTATTGTTTTACCCCTGTAAATGTTTAGAGGAGAAACTTATAAATATTGATATTGCAATCAACTTTTATTTGAACAACTTTCTTAAAAAATTAAATTTTGCACATTTTGTCCAATTTATCGAATACGGACTATTTTTGTATAGGACAAAAATTATAGAGAATAATATAAGAAGTAACTTTTATTTGAAGAATTCCATAAAATATAAAAAGGGCCCTCTATAAAGTACCCCCCAGATGTTCGGGCTCAGCCCAAAATCTGATCAGTTCACCGTAAACCAGATTATAGCTGAAGTTTAAAATTTGGTGTTCTTCTCTTTATCTGTTTTTGAATTTTAGTTATGTATTGGACAAGAATGATTATAGCAAACAACTTTTATTTGAAACATTTTCTTATAAATTTATACTTTTTACATTTTGTCAAATTTCTAGAATACAGACCATTTTAGGAAAATTTAATATAGCAGAATATTATTAAAAGAAACTATTTTGTCCATCTGTTGATTCATCTGTCATCCGCAAATGTTGCTATTTTAACACATTGTTGTTGAACAATATCGTTGGTGTATAATAAGTACATAGCCTTGTGGGACACCTGCTTTAATTCTTTTCATTTGGGTGTATGCCTCCTCTTGATTCACTCTAAACATTCTTCCTGTTTGATATGATTGAAGAATGTCGACATATTTATTGTCCAGGGAGCCTTTTTTCAAGTTTCTGTATCGTGCCAAACCTTGTCAAATGCTTGGGCTACGTCAAGATATATAGCTGAGCACATACATTGTTTTTCTATGCTTTTTTGATGATATCGGCTATAATCTTGACCTATTGTAGAGTGTTTGTTTCTAAAACTAAATTGATGCGAAGGTATCAGGTTTTCATTTTCAATTATTATTGGTTTTAGTCGTCTTAGTAGTAGCTTTTCAAATAGCTTACATTTTAATGGTTACATATGCCGCGTTTGAGAATCCACATCGGATGCATCTGAGATGTAGTAAATCTTTGATCACGTGATTCAGTATACGTAAATGTAATGGGACAGATGTGTCCGATATGAATAAAAAAACGCTCGAGATGTAAAAAATGCATCCGATGTGGATTTTCAAACGCGGCAAATGATATAGGTCTATAATGATATAATAATAACATTCTTCCTAATTCACCCCCTTCCGAGTGAATTTAAACCCCTGAAGTCGACTAAGCGACTTATATAGGGGAAGGAACGGCTATTAATATTATTTGCCGTGGCGCTCCGGGGCAACTTAAAGACGATTGATGGTGCCATTTGACTTACAGGTGAGGAAAACCCGGAAAACATCACCCACCATCATATGATGACACTTAATTTGGAGGTTTTCCTGGCTTAGTAATTAGGATAACTTTAGCCATTGTCCACTGTATATATTTTAGGCGAAATTCTGCATTTATGAGGTATGTTAATTTAACGATAGTCTTTCTTGGCAGTTTCTTTAATATTTCTTCAGTATTAAAGTGAGGGGCTTTTTCTGTGGGATGATGTTCGTCTGAATTTCTTTCCCAACTTCATTGGGAGTAACTAGCCTAATTTCAAGTTGTTCCATAGTATGGATTATCTTGTTAGGAGTATCTTGATTTTCTTCTAATTGGAACGTCTTTTGTATATGGCTAGCGAAAATATCAGCTTCCTGTTGATTGTATCTTCTCCAAATATTTGCTGCTATAGGAGGAGAGTGGATACACGAGTTTTTTTATCTTTTTAGTTGCCTCCAGAGTGATTAATCAGTTTCTTTGTCATCTGTAAGACCTACTAGATATCTGTTAAAGGATTCTTCTTTGTGATTTAGGATTTCTCTTCTCATCTTTGGGTAGCTCTAGCTTTAAATCGTCTGGTGATTTTGTCATCTATCATTTCTTTCTCAGCGTTTGTTTTTCTGCTACCATTTCTCTTATCTCGACAGGGTAGTTTTTCCAGTTGTTAATCTTCTTACTTTTGGTGTGTTTATCCATGCAGCTTGCTGGATTTCCACTATAAATTTCTCCAGTTCTTTATCTAACTGATTTTTCGTTTTTAACGCTCTGGTCAGTTGAATAGTATTTGTTAAGTCCTCTTGAAAACTTTCCCAATTGGTTTTCCGATTAACTAAGGTCAGCTTTGCTTCTTTTTGATTAACATTATCACTTGGAATAAGGATTACTGCGGAATGGTCTCAATCCATATCAAATTTTTCTTCTACTTATGTGTAGTTTGGTGAAATTTTTCTTAGGATAAAGAAATCCAAAAGATCTGGAATCTTAGTTGGGTGGGTAGGCCAATAGTTGCAATCTCCACCGATTATAAATTTATTACCTAATTTTTTTAAGTATATTAAGATAATTTTCTTTTTTCTGGTAGTGTCTTAGTGGGCAATATATTGCAGCTATTGTTATTTTGCCTTAGTGTTAATAGTGTTAATGGTTATCCAATTTTCTGGTTCTTAGATGCCTGTTTCCTCAAAGTGGAAAATGTTATTTTTAATAATTAAAGTACTTCCTCCTCTTGCTGCATTTAATATATAGATAGTGTGATAGAAGTCATATCCTCTGAATTTAATGTAAGACTCCGTTATGAAGTGGGTCTCAGAAATCAGACATATATCTATTTTTTTTAAATCTAAAAAAACTTTGATATCAGTTTGTTTTTGGAGGATACCATTGGCATTCCAAGTGGCTATTCTAATATATCATTTGTCCGTTGGTGGTTTTGTTAAATATTTGCGGTTTATTTATTTCTTTCTGCTTCTGTAGCATGTTAGAGAGTGAATCTATTTTGGTTATTAAGGATAATAATAATAATAATAATAATAATAATAATAATAATAATAATAATAATAATAATGATTTATGTATGGTACTTTCTGCTATGCTAGCTGACTGTGCAGTATGCTGCGCAATTTTCATTACTGTGTGTGACCTTTGAATTGCTTCCCCCTGTGAAGTTGGAAAAGTATTTACAGGTCTCCTCTGCCTCGTTATTATTTTAAGCCGGTGTTATCCTTCCTTATCTGAAAGGTTTTAGTTATATCATATCCTCTATAGTTAGCAGGGTGTTCCATTTGGCTGTTGTTCTGGACTTTTTCCGCAATCTATCGTATGATGTTTTCGTACCCACTTTACACATCTTGATTCTCTTCTGCAAAAGTTGTGTGTGTGTGTTTATATTTATTTTGTGATTATTGTGGTCTGTGTTTCACCCGTTCTAAAATATGGAGAATGAAAAGCTAATTATATAGGGTGTCCCATTAAAAATGAGACCCCGAACGGTGTAAGAATTGAAAAACTAGAAATTCACTATCTTGTCACTAAGTGTAAGATAAACTACGCGGTGAATTTGTTCAATGTTATCTAACATCTGTGTTTTTCTTCATTGTGAGAATTATTAGATATAAATCTTCCACCAAGTCGCTAATTATAGCAAACACAGGTTGGCCCTAATCGATCAAACTTTTGAACTTTTCGACTTTTTTCTCCTTAAGTGCAGTGCTATACCTTTCAATCGCCTCGTCAGGCATACGTTTTATATTTCGACAGCTATACCCTCGCACTCATAGTAAATTTTTCTGCTTCTTGCTGTTCCACCCAAGAACATCAACCACTAACTGGAGGTTTTTCTTGGTATGAGTTAGTTTTCTGTTCATTCGATTCAATTTTGGCATTTGCATGGAAACTAGTAGAAGATGATAATTGTACAAATTCTGCATTTTCTTTAAATGGTTAGTTTTTACCAAGTAGCAAGTAGGTCTCAGAATTATAAAACAGTGGTGAAAGGACCATTCACTGTCTATCAATCCCAAGAAGACAGAAATGGTCCTTCTTACAAGGAAAAGAATGAAAATGGAATTAAAACCTCCAGAACTAAACTTTGCCATAGAAGTGAAGTATCTAGGTCTCACCTTTGACAGCAAGTTAACATGAAACTCGTATTTATAAAACAGAGTTAAAAGAGTATACATTGCTTCTGAACAATGCCGCTGAACCGTGGGGCACACCTAAGGTTTCTCTCCCAGAGTCGTCGCATAGATTTACACGGCTATCATAAGACCCCTATGCTAACATACTGTGCAGTTGTCTGGGTACCGAAAACCCAAAAAATGGACAGCTATCCATAAACTAGAACAAATTCAAAGAACAGCATATCTCAGCATAACAGGAGCCATGAAAACAACACCGACCAGAGCCATGGAAGTCATTCTTAGTTTCACTCCCCTTGATATTTACATCCAGGAGGTTGCTCTAATAACAATAATACGCCTCCGTACGCTTGAAATAATACCTGATGAAGAATCTTAAGGAGAGACGTCGCTTTTAGCAAGAGGCGCTCGATACATTCCCGCTGCTTCAAGCGAACATGGACTCCATCTCACCGAGGTATATTTTCAATAAGCCATATAAAGTTATAACAGAACAAATAGAAGAGCCGGAAGTGGCAGGTACGATTCATATCTACAATACCCAGGATGTGGAATATACTCCAGATACTTAAACCTAAACATAAAATGGGCAGTGAGCAATAGTGCCAATGTAGTTCAAACAGAGCTGTGCCAATGTAGTTCAAACAGAGCTCACTGGGATTTTCATAGCAGCAAAATAAATCACCAGAAACAATATTACTGGAAGGAACATGCTCATTTATACAGATAGCAGACAAGCACTACTTACCCTAAAGAGACCACGAATTTACTCAGGGCTAGTACTAGAATGTCACGAAGCTTTGGCCAAAGTATCCATCAACAATGTAGTCACCTTAAGATGGATCAAAGGTCACACTACATCGAAAGGTAACCGTCTTGCTGATTCACTGGCCAAGAAAGCAGCCAACCAAATACGTTTTGGACCTGGCCGTTCTATTGGCCTGACAAAATCGGTAGTGACAGACCTAATTACAGAACATTTCCTTATGAAATTCAAGGAAAGATGGGATGAAACAAAAAACTGCAGAGTTGCCAGGGAGCTTTTAAGTTATGATAATATAAAAACTCTAACACTATAAAATAGTTTAAAAATAATAGTATAAATACTACTAAATATGAATAAAATATTAGATTATTTAAAAAACCAATGTACGAACCTAAGTAGAATACCTTACTGGCTATTGCCGGCTTAAAGGACACCTTAGTAAACTGAGAGTAGTAGAAAATAGTGAGTGCAGATTCAGTGAGGAGGGGGACGAAACCTCTATTCATATTATAATTGAATGTCGAATTGAATCCAACGGCACTATACTTAGGAGCATATCAAATAGAAGATAAAGATTACCTAACTTGAAGCCACTCCAAATCCTACATTTCCTTGAGAAGATAGGATTAAAAGGGTCGTTATAGGCATTGAGACATTTTCTTGCTGAATTAGCGACAAAAGAGGACACAACAGATCTTTAAGGTCGCAGTGTATTAACACCTTGTTCCCAACATAACATAACATAACATAACATAACATAACATAACATAACATAACATAACATAACATAACATAACATAACATAACATAACATAACATAACATAACATAACATAACATAACATAACATAACATAACATAACATAACATAACATAACATAACATAACATAACATAACATAACATAACATAACATAACATAACATAACATAACATAACATAACATAACATAACATAACATAACATAACATAACATAACATAACATAACATAACATAACATAACATAACATAACATAACATAACATAACATAACATAACATAACATAACATAACATAACATAACATAACATAACATAACATAACATAACATAACATAACATAACATAACATAACATAACATAACATAACATAACATAACATAACATAACATAACATAACATAACATAACATAACATAACATAACATAACATAACATAACATAACATAACATAACATAACATAACATAACATAACATAACATAACATAACATAACATAACATAACATAACATAACATAACATAACATAACATAACATAACATAACATAACATAACATAACATAACATAACATAACATAACATAACATAACATAACATAACATAACATAACATAACATAACATAACATAACATAACATAACATAACATAACATAACATAACATAACATAACATAACATAACATAACATAACATAACATAACATAACATAACATAACATAACATAACATAACATAACATAACATAACATAACATAACATAACATAACATAACATAACATAACATAACATAACATAACATAACATAACATAACATAACATAACATAACATAACATAACATAACATAACATAACATAACATAACATAACATAACATAACATAACATAACATAACATAACATAACATAACATAACATAACATAACATAACATAACATAACATAACATAACATAACATAACATAACATAACATAACATAACATAACATAACATAACATAACATAACATAACATAACATAACATAACATAACATAACATAACATAACATAACATAACATAACATAACATAACATAACATAACATAACATAACATAACATAACATAACATAACATAACATAACATAACATAACATAACATAACATAACATAACATAACATAACATAACATAACATAACATAACATAACATAACATAACATAACATAACATAACATAACATAACATAACATAACATAACATAACATAACATAACATAACATAACATAACATAACATAACATAACATAACATAACATAACATAACATAACATAACATAACATAACATAACATAACATAACATAACATAACATAACATAACATAACATAACATAACATAACATAACATAACATAACATAACATAACATAACATAACATAACATAACATAACATAACATAACATAACATAACATAACATAACATAACATAACATAACATAACATAACATAACATAACATAACATAACATAACATAACATAACATAACATAACATAACATAACATAACATAACATAACATAACATAACATAACATAACATAACATAACATAACATAACATAACATAACATAACATAACATAACATAACATAACATAACATAACATAACATAACATAACATAACATAACATAACATAACATAACATAACATAACATAACATAACATAACATAACATAACATAACATAACATAACATAACATAACATAACATAACATAACATAACATAACATAACATAACATAACATAACATAACATAACATAACATAACATAACATAACATAACATAACATAACATAACATAACATAACATAACATAACATAACATAACATAACATAACATAACATAACATAACATAACATAACATAACATAACATAACATAACATAACATAACATAACATAACATAACATAACATAACATAACATAACATAACATAACATAACATAACATAACATAACATAACATAACATAACATAAGTAGAATAGGACCGTGACTATTTCGAATCCCTGATTCCTATATTGTTTAATTAAATATTTACCATCCTCTATTGAACATACTTTATACTATATTAATTTTATTTTTCACTACAGGCGGCGATTCCAAAATAAATGCAGACGGCAGTTCCAAAGGTCTTGTCCAAAGCCTCGGTGACTGGTTTAGCAGTAACAATTCAAAAAAAGCCTATAACAAATCCCAAGATTCGGGCTCATCTGAAGAGAACGACCTGTCAACAAATATTGGAGCAATGCACAGCAACGATAATCAACTACTAGGCGTTTCTCCTCAAAAACCGATCAAAAATTTCATTACCAGACGCGAAGTCAACTGCCCAGTAGATAGCTTAGGAGCGTGCAAGAAGATGATTGAAAAAAGCAACAAACTGTTGGGTTACAAAAATGCCTCGCAATCCGTTTTAGGGAAGTGGTTTTTTCTTGATCCCTCTGATTTGGATATGGACGGTGAACAGTCTTTTAAGGTGAAAGTTAAAATTATTGTCAACATGGAAAACGCCTTAGATGAAAAGAAGCGAACCAGGCTGGTTTTGGATGAAGATTGTTTATATATTCTACCTGATCCTGATAATTAAATAAATTATTACATAAATGGTATAATTTAATATAATCAGATTTAACTATATGTATCTAACAATTGTTTTAAAATTGGTTGTAAAATAATGAAATAAATCGTGAACGTAACGAAATCGTAACTTTGTTTTAATTTATAAAGGATGATACATTGGGAAACGGACATACGTTAACTATGGATGAATGCCATTGAAGTTATTCCTGAGAGAAATCATCTTGCCACGGTCTTCTAAATAAAACACTTAAAAACGATTACCAAATATTTATTGTTTTAAATAACATCAAAGAGAAAAATAAATTATCATTTAGGTAGGCATTGAAAAGTCGCATCACATATTTTGGTAATAGGATTAAACGGTCTTGAAGGTGGACATTTAAACAAATTATTGATCAAAAAGGTTGCATTGTAGGAGACACACCAACTGAAGGTGAGACATGTTGTGTCGGTATTGTTCTCGACTATTCCTGGGGTACATTGACATTCGATTTCTGAGATACAGAAGCCGATCTGCAAAATAAAAATGTAACCTGATGACTTGTTTATGTGTCAAAATAGTAAAATTTTGAGATTTTGACTCAAATAAACAAATGAATGTTTATCTGAGGATTTTGACAATAAAAACTCGCGTTGCTAACATAGTCGACTATAAGCTTCGAGCATATATTACTAGAGTCATCATTTAAATGGACTTTGTTTTGGTACAGGGGGAAAAATAGTGTCCAACATTCCCATTGGTCTGTTTCGTTTTGCTTGGCATATCAAATCTTTCGAAATTGTTAGAACTGTCATCTGATATTTGATTTTCATTAATTTTTAGCTTATTTTTGTAGTTCATAAGTAATTTTTTGTACTTTATTAGTTTAGTGATATAAATTTTAACAACGGTGAGAGTTTGTGCAAGTTTTAAAGAGAAATATTAAAGGCATCGTCAAGGTCATTTCACAAGTAAGTAATTATTAGTGTCTCTACTATTTTTTTAAAAGAAACATAAGTACTTACATTTTATGTAAAAGGCCGTTAAACATGAATTTAAAATAAATGGTAAATTTAGTAAATTAAATTTAAAGAACTTGTATTATGTATGATGAATATTGTTTTAGATTTTGGATTATTCATAATTTTTCAATATAAACAAGCCTAAGTCATTTTATCATGATAATGTTGAAGACGTTAAATCAATAATTTTGGTTTTTTGTAGGTTACCAACTAATCCTGCCGAAAACCACATTTGGTGAAACATATTGAAACTTACTTCAGAAAACATTTCAAATAGTGATGTTTTATGTTCCAATCATTTTTCTAGATATATTTTTATGTCAACGACTGGATACCGAGGACGAACTAGATTAATTCCAGGTGCATAGCCATCAGGATTTACTGAGGCCCCAGAAGAAGATGAATCTAAAAGGTAAAAAACCCTGCACTTTTCTTGTGGGTTCATCGTTCAAAATTTTTAATTTTTCTGTGATGATCTGAACCATGAAGCCTATGTTGCAGAAAAAGAAAATGCAGAATTATAGAACATGTAAGTAACTAAGTACTTTTTAATACAACATAAATTTTATTTTCAAGTACATATAAACTACAAAAAATAACATTAATTATTTTTTATTAAATGTACCTATGTTCTTTAATTAAGTAGACTGTTAGTCGTTAAAAAATAAACAAAGCCTAATGTGAGTTTTTCAATAAACAGTCGTTTTAAAATTCTTTTAATTGCACTCCTAGTCATTAAGAAATAATCGAAGCTTAAGACAGTTTTCCTATAAAAATTAACCTTCACTTATTTGTTAACGAGCAGCAGTGCAAATGTACCTAAATGCGTAAGTATTAGCTTGATTTTTATTTGTAGTATATATCGTTTAGTAATCTACTAAACATTTTTTATGAACAATATTTTTATATTTAATAAATTATTGGAAAAAATTCTTGTATTGTAATTCTCGTATACGTGTGTTAATAGATATCATAAATATTAGCTACCATTTACTTATATTTTTGCTTTTTAAATATAAGCTTTTTATCTTTTTTTTCTTTCCTATTATTTCAACCTTCATTTTTCCTTCCGTTATACACTTTCAGATGTTTGAATTTAAAAAAAGCTGATGTGTCCAACATAAATATTAATATAAATAATAATTTACTATTATTAGATACCTACTTAAATAATGCAAGTCTATAAAATATGTATCAAATTTATTATTTATATTAATTGCAAAACCCGTAAAAATGATGCGACACTGGTAATAGTGTCTACACATTTCCCCTCTTAACCCAAACGCTTTCGTCTGTCGTCTGTCGTCTGTCGTCTGTCGTCTGTCGTCTGTCGTCTGTCGTCTGTCGTCTGTCGTCTGTCGTCTGTCGTCTGTCGTCTGTCGTCTGTCGTCTGTCGTCTGTCGTCTGTCGTCTGTCGTCTGTCGTCTGTCGTCTGTCGTCTGTCGTCTGTCGTCTGTCGTCTGTCGTCTGTCGTCTGTCGTCTGTCGTCTGTCGTCTGTCGTCTGTCGTCTGTCGTCTGTCGTCTGTCGTCTGTCGTCTGTCGTCTGTCGTCTGTCGTCTGTCGTCTGTCGTCTGTCGTCTGTCGTCTGTCGTCTGTCTCTGTCTGTCGTCTGTCGTCTGTCGTCTGTCGTCTGTCGTCTGTCGTCTGTCGTCTGTCGTCTGTCGTCTGTCGTCTGTCGTCTGTCGTCTGTCGTCTGTCGTCTGTCGTCTGTCGTCTGTCGTCTGTCGTCTGTCGTCTGTCGTCTGTCGTCTGTCGTCTGTCGTCTGTCGTCTGTCGTCTGTCGTCTGTCGTCTGTCGTCTGTCGTCTGTCGTCTGTCGTCTGTCGTCTGTCGTCTGTCGTCTGTCGTCTGTCGTCTGTCGTCTGTCGTCTGTCGTCTGTCGTCTGTCGTCTGTCGTCTGTCGTCTGTCGTCTGTCGTCTGTCGTCTGTCGTCTGTCGTCTGTCGTCTGTCGTCTGTCGTCTGTCGTCTGTCGTCTGTCGTCTGTCGTCTGTCGTCTGTCGTCTGTCGTCTGTCGTCTGTCGTCTGTCGTCTGTCGTCTGTCGTCTGTCGTCTGTCGTCTGTCGTCTGTCGTCTGTCGTCTGTCGTCTGTCGTCTGTCGTCTGTCGTCTGTCGTCTGTCGTCTGTCGTCTGTCGTCTGTCGTCTGTCGTCTGTCGTCTGTCGTCTGTCGTCTGTCGTCTGTCGTCTGTCGTCTGTCGTCTGTCGTCTGTCGTCTGTCGTCTGTCGTCTGTCGTCTGTCGTCTGTCGTCTGTCGTCTGTCGTCTGTCGTCTGTCGTCTGTCGTCTGTCGTCTGTCGTCTGTCGTCTGTCGTCTGTCGTCTGTCGTCTGTCGTCTGTCGTCTGTCGTCTGTCGTCTGTCGTCTGTCGTCTGTCGTCTGTCGTCTGTCGTCTGTCGTCTGTCGTCTGTCGTCTGTCGTCTGTCGTCTGTCGTCTGTCGTCTGTCGTCTGTCGTCTGTCGTCTGTCGTCTGTCGTCTGTCGTCTGTCGTCTGTCGTCTGTCGTCTGTCGTCTGTCGTCTGTCGTCTGTCGTCTGTCGTCTGTCGTCTGTCGTCTGTCGTCTGTCGTCTGTCGTCTGTCGTCTGTCGTCTGTCGTCTGTCGTCTGTCGTCTGTCGTCTGTCGTCTGTCGTCTGTCGTCTGTCGTCTGTCGTCTGTCGTCTGTCGTCTGTCGTCTGTCGTCTGTCGTCTGTCGTCTGTCGTCTGTCGTCTGTCGTCTGTCGTCTGTCGTCTGTCGTCTGTCGTCTGTCGTCTGTCGTCTGTCGTCTGTCGTCTGTCGTCTGTCGTCTGTCGTCTGTCGTCTGTCTGTCGTCTGTCGTCTGTCGTCTGTCGTCTGTCGTCTGTCGTCTGTCGTCTGTCGTCTGTCGTCTGTCGTCTGTCGTCTGTCGTCTGTCGTCTGTCGTCTGTCGTCTGTCGTCTGTCGTCTGTCGTCTGTCGTCTGTCGTCTGTCGTCTGTCGTCTGTCGTCTGTCGTCTGTCGTCTGTCGTCTGTCGTCTGTCGTCTGTCGTCTGTCGTCTGTCGTCTGTCGTCTGTCGTCTGTCGTCTGTCGTCTGTCGTCTGTCGTCTGTCGTCTGTCGTCTGTCGTCTGTCGTCTGTCGTCTGTCGTCTGTCGTCTGTCGTCTGTCGTCTGTCGTCTGTCGTCTGTCGTCTGTCGTCTGTCGTCTGTCGTCTGTCGTCTGTCGTCTGTCGTCTGTCGTCTGTCGTCTGTCGTCTGTCGTCTGTCGTCTGTCGTCTGTCGTCTGTCGTCTGTCGTCTGTCGTCTGTCGTCTGTCGTCTGTCGTCTGTCGTCTGTCGTCTGTCGTCTGTCGTCTGTCGTCTGTCGTCTGTCGTCTGTCGTCTGTCGTCTGTCGTCTGTCGTCTGTCGTCTGTCGTCTGTCGTCTGTCGTCTGTCGTCTGTCGTCTGTCGTCTGTCGTCTGTCGTCTGTCGTCTGTCGTCTGTCGTCTGTCGTCTGTCGTCTGTCGTCTGTCGTCTGTCGTCTGTCGTCTGTCGTCTGTCGTCTGTCGTCTGTCGTCTGTCGTCTGTCGTCTGTCGTCTGTCGTCTGTCGTCTGTCGTCTGTCGTCTGTCGTCTGTCGTCTGTCGTCTGTCGTCTGTCGTCTGTCGTCTGTCGTCTGTCGTCTGTCGTCTGTCGTCTGTCGTCTGTCGTCTGTCGTCTGTCGTCTGTCGTCTGTCGTCTGTCGTCTGTCGTCTGTCGTCTGTCGTCTGTCGTCTGTCGTCTGTCGTCTGTCGTCTGTCGTCTGTCGTCTGTCGTCTGTCGTCTGTCGTCTGTCGTCTGTCGTCTGTCGTCTGTCGTCTGTCGTCTGTCGTCTGTCGTCTGTCGTCTGTCGTCTGTCGTCTGTCGTCTGTCGTCTGTCGTCTGTCGTCTGTCGTCTGTCGTCTGTCGTCTGTCGTCTGTCGTCTGTCGTCTGTCGTCTGTCGTCTGTCGTCTGTCGTCTGTCGTCTGTCGTCTGTCGTCTGTCGTCTGTCGTCTGTCGTCTGTCGTCTGTCGTCTGTCGTCTGTCGTCTGTCGTCTGTCGTCTGTCGTCTGTCGTCTGTCGTCTGTCGTCTGTCGGCTGTCGTCTGTCGTCTGTCGTCTGTCGTCTGTCGATAAATAGCTCTAGAGAAAAAATTTAGCTTTTA